CAAGTGCGCCGCGACGCCGCGTGTCGACTGAAGCCGTCGTTTTTCCTTCCGGTGGTTTCGACGGAAGGGGTGGGGGGATCCGTACGTCTGCCGAAACGGGACGCCATCTTCCCCCACCAGCTCGCGGCTACTCCCACCCTCGACCAGACGCAGTCCACCCCTACTACTCAACCCCTACTGGCGCGAACTCGACGCCACGTGGTGCGCAACCGTCGACCGGTCGACGCTCGCGACGCTTGGGCGTCGAACGGTCCAAACGTGTCCTTGATTTTACTTTTTCCTCGGGAGGGAGGGGTGGGCGCACAGCGATTATCCTCGACGATTCCAGAGATTTTTTAACGCAATAACGCGTGTCGGACGTTGGTGGTGTTATTTGATTCTCAGCTAAATTCTAGCTCTTTTCAAGGTGCGTTTATGGAGTGAGGAAAGAATATAGAAAATAGTTCTACTTTTCGAGAAAAATAGGGTCCTGTTATTATCATTTTAGCAGATATTTTTCGAAAAATATTGTAGACTTTCTTGGATTTACATTGAGATTGAATCGATATTTTCATAGTTAATTACCTGAAAATATTCTTTTACTTTCCTCGAGATAATTATTATTAACGGAATAGAAGTAGTAAGACGAAGACCAGAGCAGTCAAAATCCCTTCGTTAAAAAACCTAACCTCACAACAAGCGAGACTCCCTTCAGAATTCAGCGACCCGCGCCACAAGACTTAATCAACGAACAAAAAGGAGCACGACCGCGAGAGCATTCTATTCTGAAAAAGAGAAAAGAGGAACCAGTCCATGCGCCATTCGACTTCCGGTCCCGTGCGCAGGATACCAACCGTCCATCAACCTAGCAGCGTCCCTCGCCTGGAATTTTCGTTCAAATTCGATCGTACGTTGCCAACGCGTTGATTCTATTTTGTTTGGACCAGTATTTCCCACCCTTTTGTTGCATTTCGATGCTCCCAGCATAATAATCGACCGAATACAAGGCTTCAAGAATCTTTTTATAAGGTAATTTTGTATTCGTCTCGCGCAAACTGTCGCCCCAAATATGCATTCCTACTATCTACTATAAAAATGGTTTCCTTTTAATATCCTGTACTGTTTCCGGTTTAACATATTTTCCGGCATAAAAACTAGGATGAAGTTTCCTTTCATTCCTACGTATCATAAATTAGATTAATCCTCAAGAGTTAAAATTTTAACCCTTTGCACTTGACTGCCCCCCCCCCCTCCCCCCCCGCTCCTGAAGGAACATCCACCATAGAATTTGGATGTACCTTAAACGATATTATTGTTTTAAAATACATAATGTAAAAAAAGATATGTTTGCTCGAAGCATTTACTATCCATTTCGTAAGAAAGTGTGCTCGAGTTTTTGGTAGGCGATCGAAGAAAAGTAACCGAGTGTAAAGGGCTAAAAAATTGAACAGACTTTGTCCCTCGCGGTGTCCACCTTGCAAGGGTTAACAGAGAACGAAGTATTCCATTTTGTAGAAAGGTACCAAAAATCCGCGATCGCGCAATAACCGTCCATCAACGTCGCGAACGCGGCTCGTCTGGTGTTCTTGACTTTGGGGCGCGGATCAAAAACCTCGACTGTAAATGTCGGCTCCGTGGCATTGTGCGGCAAAACGCCGAAGCGGGAAACGTCGTCGTCGACGATGCAGCCGACGATCGATCGGGGTGCACCGTGTTCCGCGTGCAACGAGGATAAAGCGCTCGACCGGGTCCCAGGATGAACGAGGACGCGGGGGCGCGAATGCAACGGTGGTTCGAGGGTCGTGGATGGAGGACGAGGGGGGTGGACGCGTACAGGGGACGAAGAGAGAGCGAACCGGATAGGATTTTGCTCGTAAATTTCGGGTGCTGGGTTCACGGGCTGGCGAAGGTCAAGTGCTTGGCCCCGACTGCAACCACCGTGGCTCCGCAGATCGTCGTTCGCGGTCCGTGCACCGGGAAACGACGCGTTTTTCGCGTAATTCCCTAAAGTGCTTCCGCCAGATTATCCGCGAAACAACTTTTCCTGGCGGAGGCTCTAAGGTCGCGGTCTGGTCGTTCCGCGAGAATTCCGAACGGGGGTTGGTTACTGCTGATCGTAAAGAAAATCTGACGGGAATGTCTCGCGGCCCGCGTTAACCTTCACTGTAAAAGCGGAGTATATTGAACTCGGTTTGTTCAGGATTGGTCAAACGACGGGGTTTATGACGCGGACGTGACTCCCCCGCCATTTTTAAGATTAACATTATACGATTGGCCCACAGGGGGTGTTTTTTTCTTTTTAGTGGGTCGCAATTAATCGTGCCCACGATAATACGTTTTGTTCGAGATACTAAAAACCGGGTAGCTTTTTACGGCAGAAGCAGATATTAGTTATTCCGATATCGAAGGCAGCTTACATCGTAGTAAATCATCTTCTATTTAAGCTTTCGATAGCGAAGACAGGTTTATTAGATGGATTATTCCAATATCTGATATAATGTTTGCAAAACAGTCTATGGTGTACATTACGACAATAATTCTTTCATCGAGACTAAAATATGAACCTGAAACCGAAATCTTAAAAACTTCGACCATCGTACATGTTGTTACATGTTCCTATTTTTAATTAATACGTCGTTTCCGTGTTACAATACCCTCTCCACTCTAGGAGCTAATTAATCTCTGTAATGGAGTGTCACTCTTCCTCGTCAAAGCACACTAGGGACACGGTCGCCTTGTTGCCGAATAAAAAAGCCACTTTTACTTTTGTCGCGATAAAACACTATGACCCAGAAAATACTGTCCATTTGAAACCCTTAACTTAGGGGAGACCTGCTCGATGTGGTATGCCGCGAAGAACCCTCATTTACGAATAAATTCCACACCGCCGCCATAACATTGATCGCTTCTGTCAATCCACGACTAACTTCGGTAATAATGGAACGTAAATACTTTCGAGCTGTTCGAAACTATGTGAAACAAACTTCATATATTTTTAGTTCGTTTTCTAGTCTTTAATAGGAAATTGCTTGCTGTCGAAGGGTCCATGTAAGCTTCAAGTGATCCACGATAAATTTCACGTGCCCCACGATATAATTGAAATGATCCACGATGAATTTCGACCAATACACGTTAGTTTCGAGCGACCCTTATATAATGGAGGCAAACGAATAGCTTTTTAGCTGGTCCTGATAGGCTGTTGCTTGAAATACAAGCGCCCCTAAATCTAATTTGAGGGTCGTTGCCTTTTGGGATTTCGTCTCACGCGCGTGGAGAAGCAGCATGGCCGTACCGTTTGAGAAATGACCAATTTCGTGGGGATATCCAGGTTAACGTCCATTTGTCATGGTTATCAACGGACTATTTAGGCAGCAGGCGTTATGGCGACGGAGCCTACCCCTTGTCAGCGAACTCCACGAGGGAAAACACTGAATAATTTCACGAGAGGTCGTTTACCTCGGTGGAGGGCACCCCCGAACGTGGACGTTGACACTCGTGTATCACGAGATTCGAGGGACAACGAAAAGTAACGTTTATTGCAAAAGATACGAGCAATACAACGATTAAAAAGGGGGAACCGTCTATTTCTGGTTTTTTTATGAAGAGTTTTGATGTAAATATACGAGGGGTTCGAGTTATGTTCCTGTGTAGATACTCGAGGCCAAGAATCTAGGGACCCTTTTACAACTTTCGCGTATAATTTAAGTACGAACTCACTGTATACTGTATAGTATTTCTGTAGGTGGCCTTAAGCATCGCAGATAAGATTTGCTTCTGATTACCCTGTTTTTTTTTTTTACAGAAGTAGCTATTATAGAATATAATAAGAAAAAATATTCCAACTAAACAATAGTGGCTGAATTTACAGACTCCATTCTTTACGAATGTGAAAAGCCACGTTCCAAGATCTTAATGCAACGGTGACTTATAAAAACTCGTCGTCGACTACTAAATTTTCCAAAGATCAATACCGAACCTACATTTCTCAGAGGTCCATTGTTATAATGTTTTTCCAATGTAAGGCAGTTCCTAGCGATTCCAACACAAACATTCTCCTCGCGTATGTGGCCGAGCAAACACGTCCGTATACGGAGAAGTTGGGCATAAGAGTTATCGTTATAAATCTTGACCTTTTTCATACCTCGACCATTGGTGTGATTTAAGAGGAGATTCCAGCGGATTCTGGTAAACGTTCGAGCTAGGAAGTATGCGCGTGGAGGGAATAGCTATCAGCTGTCGGCAAGATTTCAGCCACTTCCGAACTTCCGATCGACTCTACTCGCAAAACTTCACGTTTCGAAAGTTGCTCGATAGCTTTGCAAGTAAAAATAGTTGCTGGAAAAAATTCGCGAAATTATTGAGCTTCGGAACCACCCAAGATTGGATCCACCTTCCCTCTTCTGGATACATTTCAAACCCCTTTACGTTCGATACTGGCCGATGGAATCGCAAATCGTGTATGCCCGCGGCGAATCGCGAAAAATTTGCATACATATACGAAACCAAGGTTGTCATTTACAACCAACCGATATTAAGCGAATCCAAAAGATAAATTGTACCGCGCTCGGAACAACAGGATATTGCTTTTACAATTCGTGCTATAAAAACGATATTTACCCGTTCCGCCATGCTTTTTGCCCCCGCGTGGCCCTTGGAATTTTTGCAATAACGCGCGATCCATATTTTAGCTGTACCCGTCGCGTATTGTTCCAGCGCTTATCCATACATCTGTTAAAACGTGCAATGAAAATGTAAATTTTAGCAAGAAATTCTGAATCGAATTAAAAATCGATCAATGCGGAGAAATTGTCCCCCGTCTTGCAGTGTTATCGTTTTATTTTTAAACATATTTCGGTGTACAATCAAGGGAACCACGATCACAGACGACATAGGCAACGTTCACGCCGGTTGCAAATGAAAAGAGATTATATTTTAGAAATTTGTCATCGTACCGTTCAATTTTGTCTGAGGAATACAATTCTCAATTATCACGAAAGGACGTAAAATCGATGAATTTAGGGCTACGATTGCGTCCCGTCGTCGCCTTTTTTTTCCTCGTCTTCGTCGGTTTCGTTGTCGTCGACGGACAAATCCGAGCCATCCGAGCCCCCCTTCGTGGTCTTTTTCGCATTATCCAAAGGGTTCGAACGTTCGTTTTCATCGTCCCTGTTCGCGTTCTCGGAATTGTCTTTGATATCCTCCTGGTCGTCGAACTCCTCGTAATCGTTGTCCTCAACTATTTCCTCGCCGTCCGACCTGACGTTTCACATTCAAACGTATTCGCCATTCAGATAATTGTTTACCACCTTGCATTATCTATCGCGAAAGTAGAACGACGATTGAACGCATTGTGCACCGTCTACGCTAATGGAACCAAACCGAGCTTTCGATCTACTTTGCGTTTGGATAATAGTTCTCGAATAATTCATGGAATCAATTCAAAATAATATTAAATTCACAATGTGTGTAAACTATCCAAAAATAATATGAATATATTCGCGTTAAAATGGTTCTAACAAAATGGTGGACCTAGAATCCTGAAAAGAGGCAAGTTTGAACGATTCTCAACTCGTTTGAGAATTCTTTTTTGCTGGAAATAAATGGGTGATAAAATTCGTCGATTTTACACGTGGATTATGGGCTTTCCACTAAAATTTATGTATTCGAATTACCCTCTGCGCCTCCTGCTGCTGCGTCTTCGAGACCTTCGACGCCTGCTGGAGCCGCTCCTCGATCTCCTCCGCCTTTTGCGACTCCTTCTTCGTCGCCTGGCTTCCTGCACGCCGTAATCTCCGAACCTAATCGGCGTTTGACGTCGAGTTCTGTCCCTGTCCTGGGAGACCGCTCTGTCAGAGTTCCTGGCTTTGCTCATATAATTCCCATCGTTCATGAGATCCGACGAGACGCGTAGAACTCTGTACGCGGCGTCCTTCGGGATCAAGTATCCAGACTCCACCCCGAAGTCCAACGCTTTCTGGATGTACTGTTTAATCTTCTGCATACCTGCAAAGCGAGCAAACGTAATTATACGCGGTCATGCGAACTAAACAGCCCGGTTCTTTGAGTTAAAAATAACAGAGATATCGATTTCTAAAAATGACGTTTCCTGATGTAAACCTGATCTCAAAGGCAATTTTTAGACTGGAATAATTAAGCCAAACACCTTGGGGGGGTGTCTGGCGCGGGACGACCAAGAGTTTGGTTCAATATGTTGTACAGAGCTCTAGTGGATGCAAATTCAATTGATCGCTGAAGGCTATTCGGGGCTCAACCCCAGCTGTTTAGCTACTCCTCTTTATCTCCCGCCTCGAATTTACAACCACCGTTTCTGAAACGCGGAGGCCCTTGGAAATTCGGTAGAAGGTACATTAATTCGTCAACAAACTCCCGAGGGCTTTTCACGTGGGCCCAAACGGCGAATAAAAGCTCGTACAAAGGAAATTTTGATAATTATAGAATTTGTCTCTTCGAACGGATGTTAATGCGAAAAAATGTTACTTCTTTCCCTCTTGGTATGGATTATAAGGCACCCCTGGGGGCTGCGCCCTGTACTTTGGGAAACACTGCCGTAGACCGAGCCATTAATTAACTCAAACATCATTTTATACTTACTCAAACACGACGACCAAAGAAACATTTCTACAAGGATTGCTAACAAATTTTCCCGTAAAATATAATATCGAATAATACTAGAAGAGCTTGAAAGGACACTGATTTTTTAACATTTTAAGACTCGTAAACTGTCGTTGAATGGTCCTGGTTATCCTCACTTTTGCTTTTGCTGTGCACGCAGGACGGAGTCTGCTCTCTGGTGGTTGGTCGACGTTTCACGCGATGGATCTTGGAATTCTTTTTCGCGTCCCGTCGTTTATTGGCCATATTTCTGCCGGCGTTGGAATCTAGAGAATCCAAAACTTCTACGCGACGTTTCTGTCGATGGCAAAACCGGCACTTCGTTTCGGCGGCATTCGACGCCCCTTCGCTGTTCTCCCTGGCACCCAGGTAGAGAAACTTGTACACCAGCTCGGGGATGTTTGGTTTACGACGACGGACCTCTGAAACGCAATAAATTTTGTATCAACGGTTGGCACGCCACTCGTTCCCCCCCTCACGCGCCTCCCCCAGAGAACTTCGTGATGACTTTCAATTCAAACTTTCCAACTTTCCGCGCCCTCCTCGCGATATACGCGACCGATTCGTTTCTCTCTTTACTTAGGTTTAAATAAAAACGTTAAAAGCCACGACGCTTGGAAATCTTTCAAATTACGTTTTACAGAGGCTGAATCAATATCGAATGAAATTTGTTGGAGAAAGATAACGTAATGTATAGTAGTTAACATGAATGGCGCAATAATAGTATTCGACGTCAGAGTTCGAAGAAACTAGGGATGAGGTCAAGGAGTAACGCGAAGTGCTGCAAACGTGGGTGTCCCTTGATAAATATACATCGAAAAAGGACATCCAAGCATCGGATGGATAATTTTATCGAACGGGGTTTCGTAGACGCGACCTTGGAACGTTTAGTTTGCAAAAATTACGATCCTGGTCGCGGAAGTAACTCGACGATTACGATAACGAAGCTGAACGTAGTTCAGCGAAATGAAATTCGCCATTGTTCCATCGGGAAATAGTTAAGACCGTCTTTTTAATTACATCGCGCTGCTACCAACGTTGGAATTTAATTAGTTTGGATGAGTTTTCGAATTTGTCGTTTCATAACCCCTAGCTAGAAACGGAAGGCTGTCGTCGTTTTTAGCAAATTGGAATTCGATATTATTCTTTTAAACCGAAGAATACGACGTTGTCTCGAAGTTTAAAAATTCTGTATATATATAAAAAATTTAACCAAGTTAGAAAGGGAGACTCGAAGCAGTGTCGTATTAAAATTAAATTTTTTCTCAATTTCTTTTCAAGATGATGGACTCACTCATCTTGTGATGGCTTCGCGTACGAGGTTGTCTCTTTACAGGGGCCATTTTGTGCTTACTGTTGGATCCGTGATCTCTCTGGACCAGTCACCCGGTGGACGTTGATTCAGAGGGGCTGCGTCGGATGTCCGGGTTTTTTTCTAGGTTTTTGATCGGTCGTAGCACGAAATTTTGTCAGCGAATTTCCAGAACATTGATGAAAAAGAAGAGGGACAGGACCGGCGATGCCAATCCGTCGACGTCTTTCTTCTTTCTTCTGTTTTCTTCCATCGAAACAAAGAATCCTCGTTCGATATTTCTCGTAAAGTAGGCATTGATTTCTGTTACCAAGGGAGAAAAAATTGAAGGCTGAACGTTCCTTGCAAATAAAAATCGTCAAAAATTTTCCACGTACGAGTAAAAGAAAAATTTCTACGTGGCACTCGAGAGGTCCATCCTCTTATCTCGAGATTTTTTTTTCCGTCCGTTGACCTGCCCTCTGGAGATCGACGGAGGCGACTTCCGGCTCATGAAACCACGTCGATCGGAGTCACGTGACCTATAGAAATTGATGAGATCGTTCGCCACGATTCGGGAGTCGCCTCTATCGACCTATACCGTGCACAGAATGTTTGATAGCAACACGAAACTCGAGATATTGCCGATATGAATCTCGCCGTACGATCTACTTACATGGTTGGATGGACTTCGACATCGATTTTACAGACTCGGGGTCCGACTCCCTAGATTCTAGAGTAATAAAAATCACTGACACACAACCGTTGCCTGGTATTTCAGCCGAATTTATTGCACAGCGAATCCAATTTTAAATTTCTCAAAACATACATAATGTAGACGCGTATAAAATAAAGGAAACGGATAGAAAAGCGTGCCGTTAATCTACGGTCTCGTTGACGCCCTTGTCGCGATCGTCGTTCGGAGATTCCAATTTCTCGTCGACTTCTCGCGCCGGATTTCCGGGTGCTTCATCTACGTCTTGCTGAAGATCCTCCTGACTGGACGCCGATTTTCGTCGCTCCGTCACCGTTCTCTCATTAGGTTCGTTATCGCTCGACTTGACGCTACCCTCGTCGTCGTCCGTTAAATCTTGACGATCCTGTCTGGCGCTATCCTCGTATTTATCCTTTACGTTTTTGTACGGGGACTTCGTCGCTCGACTCTTGCGACTCCCCCTTTCCTCGATCGTGTCGTTTTTCTGCCTGCTACGCGTCTCCCTTACAATCCTCCTGGCGTTCTCCCGTTTGTTCGCCGGGGCAACAAGCTTCTGAGACACCCTCCTATTTCTGAAACGCGCAATCACGAAAGGAACCATTATTTAAATTGATTCGTGGCGCTTACATTTACGTTCTAAGTCACCCTTAACTTCGAGTATTTAAGAGTTTCGGTTATTACTTCTTCCCAGCGGCATTGTTTTTCTTGGCTCCCGTTTGTTTCTTCTTTGTTCGACCCGGGGTCGCGGCCATCTTTTTAGGATTCATGTACGCGAGTTTCAGATGAGTTTCTGGTTTCTTCGACGCGGAGGTTCTTCTTCGTTTCCGCGGGACTGCCGGTTCGGGCGATTCCTCCCGACGAGGCTTCTTCTTCGTGATCAAGGGCGGGGTTCCCCGACGACGCTCCCTCCGATCGACGAACGGAAGGTCCTCCTCGCCCTTTCGAGCCCTCCTCCGTTTCCTGCGCGACTCGGGATCGCTTCTCCTCGATTCCACCAGCGTCGGGGACACGCGAATTACTTGACCCTGCGGATCCGTCGGGATTAGGTAACCCGATTTCACGCCGAACGATAACGCCTTGCGGATATACTTCTTGGCTTGTCGCTTGCCTGCTGGGGAACGTTGATTTTAATCAAAGGTTCTGGGTTAGTATCCTCGGGATTTACGGATTTATCTGAGATTTCTCTTAAAGGCACCCTTCCGTGTCAATAACAGGGCACAGTGTGTGTTATATGCGAGTATATGGATTTACGTAGTGATTTATTGGTCAACGGTGATCAACAATGGTTAACATCAAGGTGTTAGTGGTATAGTGAGGTGGTCAACTGTGTCTCGCGATCCACCTCTGGCCATTGTTGACCACTGCAGACCACTGGTAAGAGCTATCATACATGGAACTCTGAACGTATCGAGTGCATTAAGAACTCTGCATACGTCTGAACGTTTCAATTAATTTGGGGATAAGGGTACACGTGAATTTTTACCTTCCTCGATGCCCGCCCTGATGTAATTGTTGATGATCTGCACGAGAGATTTTTTTTTCAGTAGCGACCTGGTATTATCGATCGAGCTGCCCAACGTAATCGGTTCCACGGAGATATTTGATACGCTACTGTTCTCAGAACCCGTGGCCCTCGAGCTATTTGTGGCGTCCATCACCCTGGACAGGTTCTCCATAGACGTTGCTACGGATTTTGTGTACTCGGACTCCCCGATGGATTCCGTGCTCTCACGAAGGGAAGAAGTATCGTACAAGGGCTCTCGACGATTTTGATATTCCCGCATTTTTCCGCGGTATCGATCCCTGTCTCTAGAAATTCTATTCCGTCCGCGATCTGAAACAACATTCCACGCTTACGAGTCCACCCTCCAACTCCAGGATCTTTTTAAAAATCAAAATCACGTTCTCTATATCATCGAATAAAATGCAATTGAGAACATTCATGACATAATTATTTGTTTAGTTGAAAATCTGATGCACTTCTTAAACGATGGAGAGTGGTAAACTATGCAAGTGTTATTCAGTGTTTGTCATATATTTATACTTAGCTTTACCAACGAAAGTTCCGAAACAACTGTTCTCATGGAACTTTCATAAAACTTCTAATACGCTTGTTCCGCGAGGAAAAGTTTGTAAAATAATTCTTAAAGCGTAGGTTTTAAAGAAAGATTACGAGCTCGAATAAAATAAATAGAGAAGTTAACCGTTCTATAATATTTTTCATTCCAAATAAGAATCTAATATCGATACACTCGTGTTTGATGTAATTCAAATTGAATCGAGATTCATCGAAGTGCTTTCGTGGCCAGGTATCATGTAACGTTAACGCAGCGGAAAATGATTTCCATGAGAACGGAAATCGTATTAAATATCAGTACGGACCGGCAGAAATGTAATAAAGCCAATTTCTCTGTTAACAATTGCTCCATTGTAAGCTCGCGAAAGAAGTATCTATCTCTAGTCGGTTTCTTTGTGCTTCGCGACGCTTTCACGAAGGAAACTCAATTTTCTTTTCTTCTTAAACGCGGCACATAAAACATTTCGGCCATGAAAGAAACATTAACCACTCGGATGATTAAAATTCCCTCGACAATTAGCTTCCGCGCGACGAAGGCGAGAAACTTTCGACGTTAAGAAGAAAATCAATGCGTTCACCGAGTCCTTTCACGACGGTGCCCGTCTCACCCCATCGAATGCAACCCCATTAGAGTTCGAACGAAGCTAATTGTTTTTGCATTTCCCGTGCGGAAATCGACTGTCCGTCGGTGCTCTGAAATTATTTCGAGAGCCACGGATAAAATGCGGTACCTTGGTTATGTTTATCGGCGTTCAACAGTCTGTAGACCAATTCTGGCACGTCAAAAGGCTGCCGGGTCTGCGCTCGACGTGGAAGCTCTGGCTGTTTACGATGTTGTCGATAGGAATAACGTGGCTCTGTTGTACGTTCCTTCTCGAACGAGCCTCTCGTCTTCCTCCTCGGTGGCGCCATTATTCGGTAATGGTATTTCTTTTCCTTTCCCGTGACGAGATCTGTTCCGGAAGCAGCGGGATCACAGTCGGCGCCGGAAAACGGAAAACGTCCGATTTTCTCCGTACCTTGTCATTAATAACACCGATCAATCAAACAATGAATGCTTCCTTCGTTATTGTTTCAAATATTTCTATTTTAGAAATTACGAAATTGTAATTTCACATTCCATCGCGATCGTTGCAAATATTTTGTGTAAAATTGTATTCGTTATCTCGATTCTGGGTATTCTAGTATTCAGTTTGGTAATTTTTAAAATGGTCGAAATTGAATTTTGAAATTTTTCACTAGATCAGGGAATTCAAGCTTGTAGGTTTATTAGTTCCACAACTTTTGGTATCGATGTTATGTTTCGCAAATTCCCATAATCGTGTTAGATTTCCACAACACTCCATCATTGTATTTCCTAACACTGGTATCGTCGGTGTCGAGTTCCACGACCCTGAGGAAGTTTTAAGGGTTTTCAGTATCGGGTTTCATAAATTCGGGCCGTTGCTCTCGGACCTTGCAACTTTCGTGTCGTCGATATCGTGTTTCACGAACTTGAACTCATTAGTATTGTACGTCGCAACTCTCGGGTCGTTTCTATCGAGTTCCGTAATCCAAGTACCCTAATTCATAGTTTCCATAATTCTCTATACATAAATCAACCGTTCGAAAATAACAGTTCAACCGATAGACCACACATTATATCTTCAGTAATCTTCTTCAATGTTATTCGTACGAATATTTCAATTTCTATAAGATAAAGAGTATCGACTGCTTCAGTCTCGGAAAGTCCAAAATGGCGGTTAACGCGCCATCGAGGATCGTTTCCATAAAACTCCCCCGTCCGCGGAAACGGCAAGTTGCCGGAACTTTTTCGACGAATTCGAACTTAACAGGTGTCGCGGAAGTTTCCCGGATGGCGGGTTTTTGCCGTGCGCACCGCAGACGACGATTTATCGTAGTTTGATCGTTGTTGGAGGAGTTGGCCAACTGCTCGACCTCGAGAGATCGCCGCTCGTTTGCCTTTTTCGGACCGGCTCTGTATCGATTACCAACTCCCCACGTTGTCGTTTTGCGGACGGGAAACTTTCGAGCGTCGTCCTTGACTTTGCGGAAGCCACCCTCCTCCCCCGCGGATTCGGTGTTCTTTTCGCTCGGCTGGCCACGGAGGAGAACCGCGGCACCGTGAATGGCCAGCTTCTGGGATTATCGCGGATTTCCGGTTCGGAGCCACTCCGGAGCACCGTCGTTCGATAAAACTTAGCCCCTGGAGGACCGTGCATCCTTTAATTCTCTGCTGGGAAATTCAAAACTCTTTTTCTCACCCCGCACACCATCTACTTTGCAATTTCAATTCGTTGATTACATTTTGGAAAATTTTTCATGGTCCATTCGGGGGCAGAAACGAGTACTGGAAATATTTATTTAAAAAATCGTTGGCCCAAAATTTACGGTGTTAGTTTCACGAATTCTCAAATACAACTTCACCCCTATATTCTCGAACGAAATGACTTCAAGCTTCTTGACAGCTTTTAGATAGACCTCTACTACTTATCGTCGAAAATTCATGGAAATAACTTCGCGAGTTTTGAAATAAAATTTTAAGGGCACTTTTCCCCGAATGATCCTCGAATGACACCGATAATTTTAGCGTGAAAATTTTCGTGACCCTCGCTACCCTTTCCGACAGAGGCTGGACGTTTCTGGATATTTGAAGAAACGTTTCTGTGGGTGTGTGGATCCGTTGACCAGGATTCGGTGGACAGAAAGGACCTGTGGTCCGTAATCCGCCGCAAACGTCCCGAATTTAAGCAGCGTCGGCGAAGGGGACGCGGCAACCTTGAATCCACTTTCTTTTATATCCGCCATTCCGAAGCTGAACGATTCGGTGAGCGGCCATTCGTGAGGTAACGCGCGTACCGAAGGATAGGTGGCAATACAGACGGGAAAAGTATGCCGTGATCGCGAACGAACGCAATGTCCCGTGGTAATGTCTTCCCTCCACTCTTGGAATCGTAAACTCGGGGTCCTGCAGGTGAAGAACGACGAACTAAGGGGGTGCCTCCGAGCGTAGGAATCCCCGTGGGACGCTTTACTTTCAACGCCAAAGGCACTAAACGACGGCCACGTTTCTTTCTTAAGGTCGTTGCTTGCGTCTGGGAAGTTACAGAAATGGGTCAACCATCGAGGATTCCTCCAATCACCGATTCCTTTGCTCTAACAATAACCCTTATATTAACTATCGCAAATAATATCACCCTTCGCCTTGGTGACACCCACCATTCTTTTTTTCGTTTTTATCCCCACTTAAAAGTCAAAATCCTCCTGGACTCTTTTAGTCCCAATTTTGACAAACTTTGAGTTTCAAAATTGATGAGTCTATCGTCAACTAGGTCTTCATCTTCTTCTAAACAGAATTTTTATTTAACAAGGAAGGATCGTGAATGGGGGATAGAAAGGATTTATCAACAATGTAGAAAAGAGTAGATTTTAAATTTCATAAGGAACGTCAGAATCCTCCTGGAGTTTTTAAATCCCAATTCTAGCAAATTTTTAATTTCAAGATGAACGATTTTTAATTGTCTAAGTTCCCATCTTCTCTCAAATTTCTCAATATTATACAAGTATCGTGAATTGGTTATAAAAAAGATTTACCACCGATTTGAAATACTAAATTTAAAAAGAAGTATGTGTACAATTAAAAATCGTATAGGTTCAGTTTGTTTACCAAACGCCGGAAGGAAGGCACCGATTGGAACCGATTGATTAAAAGTTTGAAAATCCGAGCACACCCCCGGTAACGTAATTGTCTCTATTTGATAGAGAATATTTCAAACACCCCGACGCCGCGGCGGAATACCAAAATAAATCGATAACGAATTTTTATTCGACAGGCGCTACGGGTTCTGCGTCGAACCACGCACAATTTGAATTACAAAATCCTCGCCCTGGACGTGCAAGGGTGAGTCTCGTGACGGTTAATTCACGACCGGGGCGCAAACCCTATCAAGTCCTCGCTGATTTATTGCACACTTGTGGCGCGAACTTTGCCTCGAGATTCAAGGACAGTCGCGATACATGGACGGGGAGTCAAGTTCAATTACTCTTCAATCTACCTGAATGGCCGTCGAGGAGAAAACTGGCCGCCATCGATAGCTTTATTGCCCCTGGAAAATCTAAGCGGAGATTCCTCCAGAATAATTCACGGTGCTTAAAAAATACTCGTCGATACTTCAGAAAGATCTGCCTATTAAAATTATTGCTTTGCTTTTCGAATTGAAATGTTCAAAATGTCCATGTCCCAATTTACAAATAAAATGGAATCTACTCTGGTAATTCAATATTTTTAAGCATACTGTTCGAAAATAAAATTTGCCCACATTTGCAAGAGTCATCGAACTTCGTAATTTTCTGTTAAGCCACGGGATATAAAATAAAACAGAGACTGCAATATTTATATATCTAGGTGCATAGGTGTATTTTGTCAAAAAAATAATAGAATATTATCGTTAGTTGAAGATAAGAGTGTATTTTAAATCACAAGAGTTATATTTTATTTAAATTTAAGCCCGAAGCAGAGCGAACGTGACCAAACACCCTTCAGTCTATTAGCTGCGAACTATTATAATCGAGCTTTAACTTTCGGTGGTAACGCTAGTGAAAGATACACTAAACAGAGCAACTGAGAAAATTGAACAAGTTTGTCAGATAATTCGGAGCAGCTGCGTAGCTGCGCTTACAAGCTCTCATTGTTAAGCTTGAGGGTCCTCAAGGCACATTTTCCGCTCGCCTAATCGACTCCATCTTTTAATCACGAACCATTATAAAGAATTCTGTGAACAGAAAACGAGGACCATTTCTATGCTTGGCCTCGAGAATTTGGGTGTTTTTAATTCTATATTATTTGTTAATAAAACGAATTGAAAAGAGAATAGAACACAGAGGTCGCGGACTCGATTTCCTTGAGTCGCGTAATAAAGCACGGTTCCCATCGTGCTGGATGACCCGTTAGGCAGCGGAGAAGCAAACGTAATGACAGGAGCGCGACGCGAGAACGTCGTTAAACAACGATCTCAATTACAGCCTCCCATTTAATTACGCGAAGGATGTTTGTAAGTGTTACGGACCCGCAACGGTTTACCTCGTTACCCGTAGTCCAGAATGGGATTGTAAGTCGACGCCTAAATTACAGCGTGACGACTGCAGATCGGTAAATGGGTGGTTTTTAATTAACTCTTTGTTTCGATAGTTGATGAACCCTGTGTGGGTTTGCAAATGCTGGTTTCAAAAGGATCTCCAGTGGATTCGAGTAAATCCTCACTCGATTTTCTTTGAAATTTTTCTACATTTTTATATCGATGCTCCTGATATATCATTTTTTATCTTCGTTTATAACTTACTACTCGAAGATATCGACAAGAAAAGAAACTCTTCCGATTTTTATAAAGATGAAACATTCTTTGTTTTAATATACCATCCTTCGTTGTTTAAATTATCTTGAAATATATTATCAGACTGAGTCACGTATTTTCTTTAGTCAGTGATTTTTAAAAACAGTTCAATGCCCGCGTACCATATTCGTAACCATTATTACAGTTTCGATACACGGACCATTGTTGAATTTTCTATTTCATATACTCCCGAAGCATTATAAATACACTTTTATCCCGTAGTTCGAACATCGATCCGCGAAAAAGGAGAACAGAGACAGTCGTTGCGTCCTCGAGGTCTCCGGATTCTAGCGAAACGTTTAGAAATGGAAATTAAGAAACAGCTCTCTCGATCAAACGGGAATAGTTCAATTAAAATTTTACGGTCCATGCGTTTTTATCAATTCAGACCGTTCGAAGTAGTGTGTCGTCGTCGAAGCGAGACTTTTTATTTCTAGTCTCCATTGTCATTCGATTGCGAGCTCGGTGATCAGTGCTGGCGACACCATTTATATTCGACTTTTACAAACGTCTGAGAGGAAC